AATGGCCAATCAAAGCTCCTTTACATCTGCCGCGTATCGTTCAGCATCCCCCTGAACATGCCGAGAGCGCGACAATCCTCTGCAGCTGCCGCTGGCCGCAGTCGTCCCACGGCTCTGCCAGCGCTCCCACTCAGCATCTCCTCGAGCCGACACTTACCGTGCGGCGCGTACTCGACGATGACCAGCAGCGGCCCGTCTTGAGTGGACGTGCCGACCAGGTTGATGATGTTGATGTGGCGGCCGATCATCTTCATCACCTCCATCTCCGAGACGAGGTCCAGCAGCTCGGCATCAGTGTGACCCTCTGTCGGCGCCAGCCAGGATTACGCCCGGTCACGGCACGCCGGCAGGGGTCTCGGAATGGCAAAAGGTTAAGTGGATCAAGGCAGGCACGTTCCGAGAAGGCATGCCCACTGTGCAAAGTAAGCAGAGAGGGTATCAACCGAGCTTGATTTTCCCCCGTTTCCTTAAAGCACGCCTGAATCAAAGGGGCAACGGGGCAGACACGACACCCAGATAAGCTGGCTGTCGACCAGCAAAAACGTCTTTGTATCTCACCGGCGCCGACTGAGGCGCCACCAGCGGTCTTAGAAGTACCCCAAGCAACAACCACACTCCCTGCCCCCGCGAACACGTCCCAGCAGCGCTACCTTTCAGCATCTTGACGGCGACGACGATGGAGGCGTTGGGCTTGGCCGGGTTGTCGAGTGCGCCGCGCACGACCCGTCCGAACGCGCCCTCGCCCAGCTGCTTGCCCAGCTGGAGCCGGCAGCGCGGGATCTCCCAGAGCGGGTCCACGGGCAGCTCGTACCCGGACATTACCGAGCCCTCCTTGCTGGGCCTGGCGGGGGGGGCGTGGGCGGCGGGGGGCGTGACGTGGGGGGGGGGGGGGAGGCGAGCGGGTGACCGTAAGGGAGAGAGGGGGCGGTGATGTGGGCGAGACTGGGCGGTGACGTGGGGGGGGAGAGGCGAGCGGTGACGTAAGGGAGAGCGGGGAGGTGACGTGGGGGGGAGATGGGCGGGGACGGGGGAGAGGCGAGCGGTGACGTAAGGGAGAGCGGGGAGGTGACGTGGGGAGACTGGGCGGTGACGTGGGGGAGAGGCGAGCGGGTGACGTAAGGAGAGCGGGGAGGTGACGTGGGGGAGACTGGGCGGTGAGGTGACTGGGGGGGGGGAGAGGCGAGCGGTGACGTAAGGGAGGAGCGGGGAGGTGACGTGGGGGAGATGGGGGGCGGTGACGGGGGGAGAGGCGAGCGGTGACGTAAGGGAGAGCGGGGAGGTGACGTGGCGAGACTGGGCGGTGACGTGGGAGAGAGCGGACGATAACGTAGGGGAGAGCGGGGGGGTGAAGTAGGGATAAGGGAGGAGCAACAGGTGGGTGTCGATGGGGATGGGCCGGCAGGGCCGCAAGCGTAGCGGAGGGACCTGCACCTACTCACGGATTACAAAAGCTCACGCAGGAAGGAAGCTATGGTCAAAACGTCAACATTCGCATGCACACGCTAACGACATTAAACAACAACAACAACAAAAAACATTGAACCGAATGAAGAGAATCAGCCCTGCCTGGTTCCAGACTTTTCCCTTTTCACTTCCCTTGCAACGTTGCACGAGGCGGCCAGCGCCGACAGCCGTGCCGACGGCCTTCACTTCCGTCCAGCGGACGCTCGGCGCGATGATTAATGCGCTGCATAAATACGCGGCTGCTCGGAACCCGCCGCGTCATCGCTTGTCAACGGCGCGTTGGGTGGCTCCTATTTGTCCGAAACCGGCGCGGCGTTTAATACCCGGCCGACTGATGCGTCTCCAAACAACCAACCAGCCGTCGCCAAACCAACAAACAGCCCGGCGACCTCACTTGCAGCGCTCGATGCGGATCGTCGGCGCCACGATCGTCCCATTGGCCAGCATGTTCTGGTGGTCGATCAGCACCTTCTTCGTCATGGCTTGGAAGGCGTTGGCCTTCTCGACGGCGCGCTTCTTCTCGCGCCGCTCCAGGCGCAGGCGGCCGTAGAAGCGGGCGGCCGCCCAGCGCGCCCATCACCACCAGCAGGCCCAGCACCACGATCAGGATCACGTAGTTGCGCAAGTGCGAGCGCACCGGCACGGGCACCTCGTCCAGCGCTGCGGCGAAGGGAGGGGGGGGGGGCGATTGACGTCACGCGGCCAGCAGGGGAGGGGCACGAGGTGATCGGCGCCGACAGCCGCTCGGCGGCCGCTGCCTGTCAGCCCGGCGGCCAGCGGACGGCTCGGCAGCAAGGCCGGGCTCCGCCGAGGCCGGTGACACACTGCAGGTACGGCGCGACGGCACGTCCGCGACACGCGCAGCCTTCAGATGTCGGCTCGGTAGGCGGCAACAGCGCTAATTGCCCGGACTGGGGACGGTTAACGCCACGTGACAACGCAGGGCGCCGGTGCGGATATACACGCTCTAGAGGACGTCCGGACTCAGTTTCGCGCTCAGTTGTCGATACAGCCTTTGAATATACCAACAACGGATACCTTACAAGTTACATACAATTATGACAATGGGCCTTGGGTGGTGAAGCGGTCCCACATGAGGCTTTCTAAACGTACAAACTCCGGGTAGATACCTCATAAACGTTAGACATGTTGGATGCAAAACGCGACGCTAGGGATGCGACGACGCATAGCTTCGCTAAGAATACCACGGTCGCGAATCCTCAGGTCGATTACCGCGAACGCGGCTCTGCCAGGAGCCACATCCTCGCCGAAAACCCAACATCCTGACAACTAATCGGCCCGCCCTAGACTCGGCAACGGACCTGGATGCCCATCGCCCTCTATATATAACCCGCCTCCGCCCAGCTCCGTACTCGCCGTCAGCTAGGCGATGTTGTGCTACACCTCAGAAGCAAACCACACTAACAAACACGCCGCCGGGCCGGAAGCCGAGACGTCCCAGCAGCAGACACACCCATCCCAACACCGGTCACTCACGCTCGAGAACGGTCAGGTACGCGTGCGAGTGGGTGTAGCCCAGCGTGTTGTAGGCGACGCAGGTGTAGAAGCCGGTGTCGTTGAGCGTCACGTTGCTGATGATCAGCCGCTGCGGGTCCGAGATATCGTAGCGGCCGCCGTCCTGCGCAGCCGGCAGCCAGTGGCGACGGTCAGCGGGCGACGGTCAGCGGGCGACGGGCGACGGGTGACGGTCAGCGGGCGACGGGCGACGGGCGACGGGGGACGGGGGACGGGCGACGGGGGACGGGGGACGGGGGACGGGCGACGGGTGACGGGCGTCAGTCAGCGGTCAGCGGGCGTCAGTCAGCGGGCGGGGAAGGGCACTCGCCGTCCGGCCCGTCGGCCGAGAGCCCCCCTCATCAAGCACGACTGCGGCATCCTAATCGGGTGAGACGTTGTCGACGGGCCGTGTAATCAGACACATCCGACACCGAATATCCGACACGAACGAGGGACCGACGGCTTGAGGCCGCTGACGTGTCGCCGGTGGTTAACCCGTGAGCTCGGCGCCGGCGGACAGTGTCCAGCGACAACACTCACAGCCACACCGTCGGCCCGGCGGAGGCGTGAGCGGTTTGAGCGGCCCGCCGGTCAGGACGAGGGACGATGCGAAGCGCGTCATGTTTCACGTGGTATACGGTCGTTGGACGTAGGCACACAACACACGAACACCATTCAGCATTCAGCGGGCTCAGTCGCGGGATTAAACACGCGGCAGACAACTACGGATGCTGGTCAGTCTCTGCCGCGCGCCTCCACTCGGCGCCCATTGTCTAAGCTAGAGCCGGCCTTCTTTAAAACGGTCGCTAAGCCCGTTCACGAGTTCAGCAAGGCTGACTGCGGGGGAGGGTGTGCTTACTGTCCGGTGCGGCGGTCCCGCCCCCACGGTCCCCAAAGTTCTGACGGTCGCCGTTCCACGCACCCCCCCACCCCCCCCCCCCCCCCCCCCCCACCTCCCGCCGTCCCGCAGACTCGTCCCGCCCCCTGCTGAGTGAGGCGACGCCGCAGGCCAGTGCGTTGTCGCCATTTTAAAAGCCGTTCCTTCGCGGCGCGGCCTGCACCGAGAGGCGCCGCTCAGCTCGGCCGGTAGCCGCTCACGTCAGAGGCGACTCCGCGCGTGGCAGCGCTCTTTAGAGCGCGGCCGGCCTCCAACGAAAACACGGCGTCGCGCAGCCCGTCTGAGTAACCTAGGGCCGGCAAGGTGGGGCGCGATCGGGCGGTCCGCCGCAGGGGCGCCGCCAGGACACAATAACGGGGGGGGGGGCGGGACGCCACGGCACTGCGTCAGAATGGTGTCACCAGCCGAACACACTCCCAGCCACGTAAAAGAGCCTCATTCCCCGCCTGAACGCAGCCTCAGTCCTTCAGGGGAGCCTAGCCCTCAACCCTACCTGGAACCCCGCGTGCGCCCATGCCCCGTGACCTCACAGTGCAGGGCATCTGAGCAGCGGCCAGCCCAGGTCACGCCGTCAGCGGTCGTCAGCGTCAGATAGGCCGTGATCGGCCCTATTTCCGGCTGTCGGTGCACGCGGCGCCGGACGGCGTATCAAAGGGCCCGCCCCCGGCCAGGGTCACGCCCTCTGCCCACGGCCAATCCCGATCAGAGCCGTCGCCGTCCTCCCTTGTGAAAGCTTCTGAGTGCTCCCGCGTGCGTGCATAAGGCTTAATCTTTCATCAACTCTATACTTAGAACGTAGAACTCCTACTTCGCATTTCAAAGTCGGCCCGGTCCACCAAAAATCCCCCCCTCCCCGCAACTCCACGGGGAGGGGATTTAGAGCAGGTCACGGGCCCGCCGACGGCCGCCCGAAATAAACCGACCGCGTGCCGCGAGATTCCAGCCGCCGAGCAGTCACAACGGCGCCGGCAGGCCGGCCTGTTGGCCAAATATTGTCTGTTCGGCATACCGCTTCTCGGCCGCCGACCAGTGTGTTTTGACACGGGCAACAATCCGGACCGGGTCGGAGCCGGCCAGCAGGCTGGCACCCCGGCCTTGCGTGGCGTCTCGTGGGCAGGTGCACCGGAGACGCCGCCCGAGCTCTCAGGTTCGAGCCGCGCTGCAAGGACGGACAGCGGGAACAGCGGTTAGCAGCGGGATGCAGCAGCGCGGCGTCCTCTGTTGGTGCCGTCGGCGAGCGATCCGGTGGGAGCTTTGCTCGGTACGGCGGGTAGCGGGCCAGAGGGCCAGGAGAGACGGGGGGCGAGCGTGTTCCAGCCAGGCTCGACCGCGGTGCACCACGGAGGAGCCCGTGCCGGGTCACCATGCTGCGGCGGAGCGAGAGGAATCGCCCCCACCCCGACTGGACCCTACTCTGGTTCCGAGGCGGCGGACGGCAGACCGCGCTACCCTGCGGCCGGTACTGTCCGGACGCAGCAGCTTCGGTGCGAGTTAGCCGGTGTCAAAAGAACCCGCGTGAAAGACTGCGGCAGCCACGCTCCACACCGCATGCATGCTAGTCGGATCAGCAGAACATGCGCCTTGTCAGCTGGAATGGCATCAGCAGCAGCAGCGGCGGCTCCTCCTCCCTCCTCCTCCGCGAGCCACGAAGGGCCGGCCAGTCGAGCGGAGACGCCGAGGCGCCGCGACGACCGGTGTCGAGTAACCTGCGAACTGCGGCATCAGCCGCGGCGTGCAGCATTGCGCAGGCGGCGTGCGGCGGCGTGCAGGCATGCGAGCAGACCCGCTACCTTGAGACCCTGGCCGTCGGGGCCGTCCGAGTGTCCGGAGGAGTTAGCGGCGGCGGCGGCCGGGTGCCGCTTCCACTCGAGCACCGAGTGCAGACTGGATGTGACCTGGCATACGAACTGGCCGTGGCGCCGGCCTCGACCGTCAGGTTGCGCGGCTCGCGCGTGATCACCGGCTCCGGCTGCGGCTGACCTGCGGACGTGGGCGGCGCGCGTCAGGCGGGTGGCGGCGGCGCCGCACGTACCTGTTGCGCCGTCAGCGAGCGCTGGTTTTGCCGGTCCAGGTCGGCGATGCCGCCGATGGTGAACGTCTCCTCGCCGAACACCCAGAAGAGGTCCATCAGCAGGTCCCAGCTGCCCGGACACTCGAACGTGGCGCTGCCGCCCACCTCGACCGTCACGTTGCGCGGGAACGAGTCGTCGATGGACGGGTCGACGAGCATGCCAACCACCTGCAACGGCGCCACGACGCCACGGCAGCGCGCGTGCGGTTAGCGGCGGCGCGGGCGGCGGCGGTGCGGCTGGTGCTCCGTGCTCGTGCGCCGGTCAGCCGGCGGCACCACTGACGTCACACGGGAGACCCCGGTGACGTCGGCCAAGCGCCTTCGCGATCAACGGGCACGGCTACGAGACTTGAGTGTCTGCTGTGACACCGCGGTGCTTTCGGCCAAGCGATGAGCATGCAGCAGCTTTCTCTCCCTCAGCGAGCGTCAGCGCAACACACGCACACAAACACACGTCGCCCATCCCATCCCCAACCCTGCCACATGCGTGAACGCGTCGCTCGCGACGCAGCGCCGTCCGCGTGTCACCGCCGCCGCCGCCGCCGCCGCCGGCAGCTCCCCCACGCCGCCTTCCGAGAACGGCCGCCGTCAGCGTCGGCGGCACATGGCGCGCCGGCGCCAGCTCAGACGCGCCGCGCGCTGTTTACTGCCGGCGGTCGGCGGCGGCGGCGGCGGCGGCGCGGCGAAAGCGGCGCGTGGCCGCTCATCGCCCGCCGCGCCGCCGCTGACCGTCTGTTTACACCGCCGTGCTGTATTATACGGCGGCTATCGCGTGCTGGCGGCGGTGGGTCCGGGCGCCGGCGGCGGTCGGCGGCCGGCGGCGGCGCGTCGATACTGGCCGCAATTAATAGCGACACGGCGCGTCGCGTGCAGGGAAGCGGCGCCGGCCTCTGCAGACGATGCTCAGTGCGCTACGCATGCTAATCGGCGCTGGGTGCAGACTATCGGCGACAGGTGCAGGATAGTCCGGCCACGGGGCTGAGAATGTCACAGGAAGCCAGGCCAGGTCCGGCGGGTTACAACCCGGTCCATGCAAACCACCCAGCCGAAATCGCAGGTGACCATGCAGCTCTGACAGTCACTCGGACACGAGCAGCACTCTCGTCGGCACCCCCAGGCAGTGGGTTCCGACCGTCTCGCCCCATCCCGTCCTCTCCCCTGCCCGGCGTCCCAGGAAGCTGTCATCGGCCGGCCGGCGCTGCTCCACTTACTGTTGGCCTCCACGTGGAAGGTGTGGTTGACCTGGCCGAGCGGGTTCTCGCCGACGCACGTGTACTCGCCGTTGTCGTACTGGCGCACTTGCGGCAGGCGCAGCGAGAACTGGCGCACCTCCACCATGTTGGCCGTGTGCACGCTCTCCGAGACGGGCTTGCCGTTGTACAGCCAGCGCACCACCGGCAGCGGGTTACCTGCGGAGCGGGGGCGGTCAGCGGCGCCGCAGCCGTACGTGAGGAGCGGGGGCGGTCAGCGGCGCCGTAGCCATACGTGAGGAGCGGAGGCGGTCAGCGGCGCCGCAGCCGTTCGTGGGGAGCGGAGGCGGTCAGCGGCGCCACAGCCGTTCGTGGGGAGCGGAGGCGGTCAGCGGCGCCGCAGCCGTTCGTGAGGAGCGGAGGCGGTCAGTGGCGCCGCAGTCGTACGCGTGGGGAGCGGGGGCCGTCAGCTGTACTGCAGTCGTACGTCGGGAGCGGAGACGGTCAGCAGCGCCGCAGTCGTACATGGGGAGCCCAACCACGCACCGCGGGCAAGTCGCACCGGTCCCAGAGAGAACCCTCAAAATGACAGCGGAAGACGGAGAACGGAAGCGCACCGATGGCGACCAGTGCGAGAGGCGGTGGAGGAATGAGCATGCGACGGAAACGAGTCAGGCGAATCTACAGGCAGAGAACCCAAGAGGCAGCTCAGGACGTACGCGGCTGACAGTAGCACAGTCTGCAGGCGCGAGGGCCGACGCGCCTGCAACGGGGGGGGGGGGGGGGGGGGGCACTCCTCGGACGGCGCGGAGGCCGACGCGAATACAGCGGGGAGCGGTCCCTGGGCGGCGCGCGGCGGCGCCTCGCGGGCGCCGCCGCGGGCAGTAGCTGGCGCGCGGGCGGCGCCATGTACAGGACACCACTCACGCTGACAGGTCACCAGACGGGCCACTCAGCAGTGGAATGCCGACACAGCCGGACCCGACCGGCCCATGTCGCCGGCCGTGTCCTGACGCCGGCGTATGCAAAACCGGTCGGTCGAACCGTCCCAAGGGGCTCCGGCCGACGTAAGGGCCCGGTCGATGGGTACGACGCCGCCTAAATACGTCCCTAGATTGCGTAATTCTTGTGACATGCTTCAACAGTTGCTATTTACTGCACTGCCAGGAATTCCAAGCATCAAAACCACGACGACAGCATCGAACTTTTTCACCGCCAAAATGAAGAAGCGAGTTTTCCTACAGCTTTCGCAGCTACGCTAACAGGGCACTAACACGACATCGCAGCCCGAACGGACTGTGCGCGGCCGCCTTACGTCTCCGACACCACGCTGAGTTTTTGTATTCAAGCTAGGTAAGCCCGGATGGCATTAACCGGTGAAGATCACCGCGCTCTTGCCACTCTGGGCGGGGTGTGTTCCCCCGCGTTGACATGTTTATCGTGTTCAGGTGGAGCCGACATCCGGCTCCCGCTGCCAAGAGCACCACTGCTGGCCCATATTGCTTTCGGTGACCCACTGGAGCGGGAGCCAGTCCAGCGCAACGGGGCACAGGTCCAGGCTCGGCATGGTGTCCATTCGCGCTCGCGCTCATCATTAGCCGAGTGTAAAACTCCAGCGTCATTTCCAACGCACGTTGTCGTGTAGACATTGATCATCGTATGGACATCGATCTGACTACCGACGTCGCAGCGCGAGCCAGCTGCTTCCCGCCTCCCGACTCCCGACCTGACCACGAGCGTGCCTGCCTCCCCCAGTCCGCAGCGAGTCTTTCCACCACTGACCTCTGATCCCGCAGTGCAGCGTCAGCGCATCGCCCAGCGGCACCACCTTGAGCTTGCCCAGCCGCTTGGGGAAGAACGGCGCGCGCTGCTCGTCGTCCTCGTCGTACTCGACGGGCGGCGGTGGCTTCTCGTCGTAGTCGACGTACTCGCCGTACTGGCTGTCGACCTCGGGCAGGTCGCTGCTGTAGAGGTTCTCGGAGACGATGAGCGTGTAGTTGCTCCAGCGGGGCGGTCCGCCCGCGACCGAGAGCAGGCAGCTGTACGAGCCGGCATCCCCCAGCTGCACGTCCAGAATACGCAGCCTGCGGACAGCGCGCGCGTCAGGCGCCACCTCCGGCTCAAAGGGACGCGGGTCAGATGAGACGGCAGGGGAGACGACAGGGCAGAGGTCAGGGCAGAGGTCAGACGCCAGCTCCGGCTGATCCCGCCTCGAGTCAGGGCAGAGATCAACCGCCTGCCCCGGCTCAACGGGTCATAGGTCAGGGGAAGGACCAAACGTGACACGGACTGACGAAAGTCAGGGCGGGGGCTGGCCACCGACTACGGCTCAACCGGCCACAGGTCAGGACATGGGTCAAAGCCGGCATGGAGTCGGCAGGAAAGGGGATCGAGGAAGGAGTTACGGCTAACAGATAGTCAGCAGAGCACGGTTAAGAGCGGAGTTCAGAGGCGCACCGGATGCATAGGTCACAGGCAAGAGCGAAGGTCATTGACGATACACGTTCATGAGGAAAGGTCAGGGTCGAGGCCAAACGCTTCGTGGGTGTCAACGTGGGAGGGGTCTGGCGCCGGCAGGGTTCAACAGCGTTGGCTTTCTGCAAGTGAGGCGTCAAACGTCTCATTAAGAGGCCTCAGAATGCGACCAGACCATAACAAACATATCATGTATACATGGACATGGCAGCCGGCGCGCGATAGACTCGACAGACGCACCCTCGGCAGACGTTTACACGGAACGGAACGGAACGGTTTACACAGTCGCGGCGGAAAGCCAGACGCGCGTTTCGGTAGCCGGAGTGACGCGTTTCGAGTCCTTGTTGCGATCGATCATGCTAAATCCGTCCAAATATTTTAGGCCTAACTGGCAAAATGTTTGGCAAGGCTTATCAGACAGATTCCTGAGGTAATGGAACTGGAAATGACATTCGACATCTACTCCATCATCATGCGGATCCTTGCCGGTCTACTAAGAAATCGTCACGCAGGTACTTTTACTCAATTCCAGTGATCGCGGGGTTGAAGACGGATTGTGTGGGAGGAGCAAGTTTTCACGGTTCGCTGCCGCAAAAGTCGCACTACGAAAACCATTACCCTCCTGCTTGCAGGCTGCAACGAGCACGCTGCGCAGAGATGCCGCCACGCCGCCACGCTTATGAAGAGTAAATCCTGCGCACACACTCATCTCGCACCTCGGCACTCACGAAATCAAAGCCCGCAACCTGAGAGGCTGCCTCAATCCCCGCCCCGGCCGATTTCCATTGAGCAATCCCGGCCGGCGGGAGGTAGTGTTACAGACCTCACGGGGCCGCGAGCGGGGCCGGCGGAAGCCGGGGAGCGCAGCGTCTTTGATGTCGGCCCGGTCGGCGCCGAACGGGGGCGGCGCGTCCCGAGGCCGTCCGCTCCCAGGGCCGACGGAACGCGGCCGGAAGCGGCCTCCCCACCGTCTCGACACTGACGGCCCCGCCCCGCACGGCAGACGCGCCGGCGAAGCGCGGGTGAGAAGAGACCAGAACACAGGCCCCGCACAAACCGCGCGAAAATCGCAGCGCAAAAACCGCGCGAAACGCCGAACAGCTCTCTTGCTTATTACAGCCGAGGAGCAAGAAGCGCGTCACGCAACATCTATCCTTTTTTTCTCGGATTGTATAAACGCGTTCGAAGCAGACTAGCAGCAGAGCACAAAGGCGCTGTGTTCCAGTTTCACGATGGATAGCGTCGCTGACCTATCGTCGCCTTGATGGCGAAGCTCCGTGCCATCGCCGTCAATATTTACCCCATTCCGTGCGCGCGTGCCTGTCGCAGAGGCTGACGAGGCGGCAGCAGGCGCGGCGGCGGGCCTCGCGCTGCCAGGCGCGCCCGCGGCACGTGCCGTCGGAGCCGGCGCTGATCGAGACCGACTTTGATGGTGCTGCCGGGGCCCGCCAGTTGCGCAACCGAGCACGGTGCGTGTGGAAACGGCTGCCTCGACCGAGCGGAGAAGGGTGGCCGACCGCCGGCCGCCACGCCACTGCAGCGCCACCGTCGGAGCGACATCGCACGTCACCGCGGCCGCAGTATCGTCGCTCCGTCGCTCGGTCGCCCCGCGGGAGCGCCTCCACTCCGTCACCCCCACGGACGGAGAACTCACTTGTTGGAGCGCAGTCGGATGCGGCGGTCGCTGGGCACGAAGACGGGCCCGGGCTCGGCGGCGGCCGCCTGCAGCAGCGGCCGGCCGTTGCGGAACCAGCGGAGCTGTGCTGTGCGCCGCAGCTGGGCGCCGTCGCGCTTCAGCCGCGGGCAGGAGAGCTTGGCGCGCCCGAACTCGCTGACTTGCCGCAGCTCCGGCCCCGCTGCAACAGACGGCGGCGTCAGCATTGGCCGGCAGTGACGCTCGGTATGCATGGTGGGCGTAGCGTGGAATAAGGCGTAGGGCATATGGGCATGGCGGCGCACTCGCCAAAACGCGGCACAACACGAGCGTTGAAGCGCTGAGGCAGGAGCGCGGAGGTTTGTTCAGGATTGGGGATGGGAGGGGGGCTCAGTTCCTGTGTTTGGTCAGAGTCGTTCCCTGTCACGTACCGTCATCAACCTAGGACTTAATTTTTCCTCTTGTTCGGGGGACTCGAGCCCCCCCCCCCCCTCCACGGCATGACACGATAATCTGAAGCAAGATTTTCTCCGGATCCTCTCTTCTTTGTCAGCGAACATCTCCATCCTAGCGTCTCAATTCTAGACTTCCGTAGGTGACGAAAATGGTACAAACCCGTCGCACAAAAGGCTTTTTCCCAGTCCAACGGCCGACCCCATATGGCGGGAATGAGGCCTCACAGCATTAAACGAGAAAGCGGCGTCTTCTGGCATTCTGCCGCTGGCTGGAGCCGACGCTTCGTTTGAGGACCGACTCGCCACGCCCAGCTCAGCGCCGTCGGCTCGGCGCGGGGTCATGACCCGGCCGGAAATCGGAGCGCCCCGGGCGTCGCGGCCGGCCAAATATTGTTATGAGCCGGTGCACGTGGGGCGGGCGGCGGCTTGTCAGCTATTTCAGCGGCCGGCGAGCGGCGGCGAGCCGAGCTGGGCCGGCCTGCCAGCTCCGCCCGGTGCCACCGACCGGGCGCCGTCGCTGGGCGGACACTGTGCTGGCTGGCGGGGACCAAGGCGGCGTCACCGAGCCCTGACGTCCGCTAACGGCGCGTCACGTGACGCCGCGTGACGCGCGGGTGGGCAACGGAGCCCACGGCGGCACCACGGGCAGCGCGTTCTGCCCCTTCCGGCGGAGAGCCCACGGTTGCGTAGCTCCAGGTGGGCGGAATTGGGTCCGTGCCCACGTAAACGGTGGACGTCCACCCAGCGTTCGTGGAAACCAGCGGCCGCTCGTGGGCACGGCCGAGTCGGTCGGGCGTCAGTCGTCGCGCTGCTGCCAAGACGCCCACCGAGCCGGTGTTCGAGGAGCGGGCGGTGCTACCGCTGACATCTGACAAACTGCTACCATAACACAGCTGGGAGGACGGGCGGCCGGGCCGCGGCCGAGCGCCGAGGCAACTGGCAGCTCACCAGAACTACATACCTACATCCCAAACAGTTTACGGCGTCGTGGCTCGCAGATGAATGGCGAGGGACAGCTGACTCGCCGACGCTCGCCCGGCCGGCGACGCGAGCCGCCCCGCTCGACAGCGGTGATCGAGGCGCGCGTGCTCGCCGCGACGCGCCGACAAGGCCACGTGTCACCAGCGCCGGGCGCGCCGGCTCCTCTCGGAAGCGGCCGCCGTCAAGACGCCCGCGAGGCGCGACGCCGCATCAATAACCCTCCTGCCGTCCCCGCTCCGCCACCTGTGCCGGCCCGGGCCGCGGCCTTGCGGCGATCCGCCCCGAAAACGCTCGGCTGAAAGAGATTTTCCGGATATTTCCCCGATTGTGCCGGCGGTTTCGGACAGAGGGATTAGAGCGGGCCATTGAGCGGGCGCGGCCGGCGACGGACGCGCCGCTCGAGTGTTGTTTTTAGCAGGGGTGGCGGCCGGACGGCCGGCCCGCTCGGACAGGGCCGATCGCGCCGACAGCCAGCCAGAGATAAACACTCGGCGCCGCTCAATGGGTACCGATCACGACGGCCCAATGGCCGGCCGTCGGCGTCGAGCGTGGGAAGGCCGGCCGGCCGGGGCCCAGCTGGCCGCCAGACGGGGCTGGGCCGGGCCGGGCTGGGCTGGGCCGGGCCGGGTCGGACCGGGACGGCACGGCCGGCGGAAGTCGCGCGCGCCTGGCGGCCGTGGACAGCGCCGCCAGGCGCGCCGGCTGGCAATCTTCGACCACTGCGCCACACCGCTACGGCAGTATTTACTGGCAATCGGCGAACGGGACAGCCGGGTGATACGCCGCGCGAGGCGAGGCAGCTATATCGGTCTGGGTCTGGGGTCTGGGTGTGGCGGGCGGCGGACCCGGCTCAGCCAGCGGCTGGCGTCCTGGGGTGACGGGGACACCGCCTCAGCCAGCGGCAGGCGTCTAGGTCGGCCAGATCGCCTGCGCTCGAAATGCTGTTGCCCTGACCTTTTATCCGGACGCGACTGCGGAGAGGCCTTCTTCATGAGTTGCGCAACATAGCAACAGCGCCGTCCTGCGCCCCGTGACCCTCTGTGGCCAGTTGCCAGCTGACCTTTGTGTACCACTCGGGCCCAATAAAGCACACATTACGGGACACAAGCCTGGAATCAGAGCCTGGAACCTCTGAATTACCGCGCTCGGCCTTCGGAAGCACGGCTTCGAAACAGTGCCTCTCACATGGTCGACGAGTTCCTCTGGCTGGCTAACCAGACCACATGACTCGGTGCTCACACTAAGCAGCAGACCTAACGCTCAGCCAGGCACGGAGCACACCACGTCCGCGCGCCCGCCGGCCAGCCCGCGGGGCCGGCCGGCGGCTGCAGGGACCGCCACCGGCGCGCTGCCGGCTCTGCAGGCGGCGGCCGTATCAGGCGACCCGTGTCCATCACTCGGCCGGGCGGGGGGTACGCCGCGTCACCGCCGCCCGACAGACGGGCCGCCCTGTTGAGCCACACCGGCCCGGCCGCTGACAGGCGCCGCCGCGGGACGAGTCACCGGCCGTCGGCGCCGCCGCGGGACGAGTCACCGGCCGTCGGCGCCGCCGCCGCCGACACGGGGCGTCCCGTCGGCGCCGCCGCCTCCGACCCGGCGCCCGGGGCGTCCGGGCGTCCCGTCGGCGCCTGGCGCCGGAGGCCCGACGCCAGGTCTCCGGCGCCCGAGGCGCCCCAGAGCGAGCCAACGTTTACCGGCGCTGCGTCAGCGGCCGGCGGGTCGGCGGGCGCCTCCGGGGGCCTGTGACCCGTCGGCAGCCGCGCCCGTGTCATGCAGGACGGCTGTGACCTCGAGCGCCGCCACCGCCGCGGTCGTCGGGGTCGCGACCTCAGCAGCTTCTCGGCAGAATCGGCTGTCGCGTTTTCACTGGATAGCATGGCGGCCGACTGTGCAGACTGAACACACTCTAGCCGACTCTAAAAGCGTTGAGCGTGTGACTGCCCCCATTCCCGGCGGGGCCAGAGCGTCAGGAACGGCCGGCCTGGACACCGCCGGCCGTGTCGGACTGAGTGCTTCACCGTGTAAGCCAGCTGGGCGGCAGCAAAAATGCCCCCCTCCCCCGTCCCCTGAGCGCGGCCGGTGTGGACATCTGCATCACAGATGTCCACACCGGCGGCGCGCTTTCTCCTCCGCGCTTATCCATTTCACTCCAGCGTCCTCTTTTTCTTTTTCTTTTTCTCCCCGGCGCGTCAGAACCGTCCCGCGACGCGTCACACAGATACGTCGCTGCCAAAATACGACCGCTCATACGATCCAAAAGCAAATATGCGCGGCATTCTCCGAGGTCGCGGCCGTTGAAAAGCGGCCCATTTTGAATCGGGGGAGGCACACGGGCCGCGCGCGGCCGGCACTCACCCGGGGCTCGTTTTACCGGCTTCCTGCGTCCATTCTGTGTCAATACGGCGCGTCGGCGCCCCCGTGGCGACAGGTCGGCCCACCGGAAAGAACGGAACAAGTGTTTATGGGTCCGCCTGTCACTCATGAGCCCGGCACGGTTTACGTCTGGGATAATCGGAAGGTGGGCCCGTCTGTTTGCCTCTACAGCGCCGTTGATTGCTTCAATTTGCTGTAACATCCGGCAGCCCGTGGCCGCTATAAACAGAGCGGCGGCGCGGACGGCGCACAGACGCCGGCCCGCCTCGGACGGCGCCGCCAGGCCCGGCGCCGCGCCACACACGTGTGCACGTGTCCACAAAGGGCGCATGGAGACGGCCGGCCGGCCCTCCGGCGCCCGGCGACGCCGTCTATGGGCGCCGAGCGTTCCCCCGGGGCGCGAGCTACCGCCTGGGCGGCCGACCTGACCCGCCGCAGGCACGCGACCACGCACGCCGCGATGGCTGGTCTGCCGCGCCTGGCGCGTGCACTGCCGGCCGCCAATTCGGCGATGGCCGCAGGCGCCTCGTAAACCTGCCGGCACCTCGGCATCCCCGCAGTCGCAGGTGCCCGAGCCGGCGCGGCGCGCGACAGGGCGGGGCCAGTCGCCGCTAAGTGGCCATTAGCGGGCGGGCCCGGCCAGGTGGGCCGGCCTCCGCTGCGCACGGGCCGCCCCCGGACCGCCGGCCGCCGCCCGCGCGCCGGCTCCGGCTTCGGGACGCGGTCAGAGCCGTAGCCGTGCCGGCTGCGCGCGAATCGGCACGGATCATGACAAAGGGCCCCCAGGGACGTGACGACTGCTGCAGGAAAGCTGACGGCACGAAGTTGATAGACAGAACCAAGCAATCGACTGCCCGGGAATACATGAAATGCAAGCCGCATTAGCGGGAAGTGGGCTGAGTGCATTCGCGTGTCCACAGCAGCTTTTAGGAGTGCGTGGGTCTGAAAGCGTCGCACGAGACGTGTCAGCCCACGGCTGGGCCTGGGTTAGCATATATCAGGATGAACCAGCTCTGGGCTTCTCAGCTGCGCGCAGGAGTGCCACTTCGCATGCTTCTAGTGGGCTGGAAGCCTCTAGCGATCATACATTTCAACGTTAAGATGATGAAGGCAACAAGCGGTTGAGACGTCCGAGTTCATTATTGGAGTCCTCCCCTCCCGAGCCATTTCCCCTTCCCCACCCCCAGCCATTCTCAAAAGGGGCCAGCCACTGCAGCGCGCCCCAAATCAGCGGTATAACTCAGACGCCTGGAAATCCACCCGCGGACGTCAAAGGCTTCACTGCTTGCCGTACAAGTGTCAGTGATTGGGAATGACTCACTCGCGGGTAGCCGTGAGGCCAATCACCGCTGTCAACATTGCCGCTGATAGGCATGAGAGGAGGGCTTACGGC